ACAGAATGATAAACGTGAAATCTGAAGGGCAAAAAGAAGAGATAGTAGAAGAAAAAGAAAAAAAAATCAGGGCGTTCGAAAGTTTTTTATCAATTTCGTGTGAGAAAATTAATTGAATCCCCGCTCGATCGCCCTCTACGAGAGCGCGCACGTTTTTTGCACATTCCTACTTTCAGTAGAATCGTCGCAATAATAATCGAATGGCATTTTGCATGCGTCATACGCACGTATTCGTTCTTTGCTTATTTTTTTTTTTTTTTTGCGCATTGTTTTCCCCGACGCATCCTTCTTTTCTTTTTTTCCTCTTTTCGTGAAATCAAACATCAACTTATTTATATTGTAAGCTTCAATTCGAAGAAACGAAATTACAAACATCCCCGTCTTTTCGTGTTCGACGCGACAAACATACGAAATCCCTTTACGTGTTCAACCGAAATTCAGTAAAGCTTCCATTACCGAGATGAGAGAAAAACAAACACACATACAAAATACTTGTTTCGTTTCACATCGTAAAATGGAGCGATTAGATTTGTAAACAATCATTAAAAAAAAAAAACAAAAACAAATTATTAAAAAAAAAAGAAGAAAAAGAAAGAAAACTCACGTGATATCCTTAAAAACATGATAGTGCAATATATGCAGAAATTCAAAGCACCAACAAAAAAAAGATAAAGCTTGTAACAAATACTCGAAGTAACTAGTAATTGTATCTCGATGGGAAAAGCATTCAGATGTAAATTTTTTTTTCGTTAACAACACCCAGTCTAATCTCTCCATTTTAAAACACCGATCGCTGAGCAACTGTAACACATCAAGGGATGGTCCGCCAACGTAATGTTTTTTTCTCTCTCTAATTACTAGTTCTGAAATGATTCGAAACTTGCATGGTTGACTGCTTAAAACTTGTTCCTTTTCTTTTATATATATCTATATATCTAAGAAAACATCAATGCACGTGTAATTTCATAAAGCAATGGTAGATTAAAAACTGTTAGTCAGTGGTTGCCTTAAAATAATTGTCCGACGATTAAGACTTAATATGTAAACGGACCAACCCAGGCAAATTTTTGTAAGTTTCTTCGCGTAAAACGTATTTAAAAAAAAAAAAAAGAAAGAAAATAACACACGCAAGGCGTTAATATGGCTAATCATTTTTTGAAAAAATTTTACGAAACGTACGAGACAACCAGAAGTGAAATTTAACCAGTTTAAATCGAGCATGATAAACTGGTGCGTATGACGGGCAGTGCGCTTTGTGAAATCGTCTCTACATTCCCGTGATTTTCTGCGTTAAACAAGACTGAGTATTTTATTGATCTAACTTTGTGTTCTAAACAAACCCATACAGCCACCAAAACATGGAACGCTAATATATAGAATTACTTTTTTGTTGTATCATATTTTTGTTTTTTTTTTTGTTTTTCACCTGCCAGTCTCTATCCTCGATCAACTTATTGTATTGTGGATATAATAAATCGATGTAGAACGTGGCAAGACTCACTGAGAAGTGTGTACGAGGAGTGTATATGACTGCAAGAAGTGAGTTATTTACATTATTTGCATATGTCGGCGAATCAGCCCTTGCCCTTGTTCCATGTCACGTAACGACAAAAGATGGCGAGATTAGAGTTTGAAAAGTGATTTAGATAGGGAGGGTGAGGAGGAGGGCATTTGAAGAAGGGTTAGTGTGGGGGCGGAGGTTCCGTAGATTGGTTTCTGCCATCTACAGCCCTAACCGGCTTCCTACGTGAAGGACCTGTTACGGCAACTGGACCAACTCCACCTCTAAGGTACGCTGGTGCCGGAGTTACTATCGGTTCCCTGATAGTTCTACTAATTGATAGCGACAGTGATTCCTGCAGTACCTGTACAACCAAGTTACAAATACTGAATTATATTCATTACGTTTCTGTTCTCTATACTTTTACTTGTGATACTTGAATGTATTTGAAAATTAAGAATTCTATACATATATATTCAGAGGAATATACTTACCAATGACTGAGGTAACACACTATGCATCAATGTTTGAACCATAGGTGTATTTTGTGACGCGAGGTTATTAGAATTTGGAGGCAACCCTTGACTTTGAAGACCTGTCCCCACACTGCCAGCAGTAGTTGTCTGAACAGTATGCGATTGTTGCGTAGACGTTTGCGTTACGTGTTTACTCATTGTTTGATCCCTTTTTGCTTCTTGAGTTACGTTTAATTTTTTCGTAGAAATTGTGGAAGTATTAGCATTTGGTGTTTCAGGACTGGTTGTGGCAGTAGTTGCACTTGATACTGGAGTTTGCGCTCCGGATTGCTGCTCTGTCAACTCTGGCAATATTGGAGAAAGCGTTCCAAGAATAAGTTCGCGCGTAAAGAGGCTCCTATTTGCACTTTCACGTTCAATATTTTGCAACTGTTTGTCAGAGAGGGTATTGGTAATACATCTGAAAAAGAGGAAAAATATCAAATTGTAATAAGTGTGTTACTTGAGAGAAACGATGAATGGTAAATATACAAGCTTGTTGTCTTTTTTAAAAACTAAACAAATTCATTTTCCATACTTCCATGGAATCATCTTAAAATATAACTTTTGGCAGCCCACACACTGATCATGACATGCAGTTTTGCATGTTTCAAACAAAAGACGGATAAACGCGCGCGCGCGTGTGTGTGTGTGTGTGTGTCGCATGAAGGTATATTTAAAAAAATACTCGAACATCACCGGTTAAAAATCAACACTTCGAACATATTTTTGAACATTTTTAAATACGTTATTACATGTATAAATATTAATAAATAAGACATACTTTGGCAACAGAAACATATAGTTCTGTGAACTGGTAGATGATACGCCGGACGGGTTCGCCACATTAGTTGCATTATTGTTACTACTCGTACTATTTGCTACCACACTGGTCATAGTAGTAGAATGACCACTTCCAGTAATAAATCCTCCACAACTTGCAGAACCAAGGACCTGAGTCTGCCTCCTAGGTAACCGCTCCAATTGTTGTCTAGCAGCCTGAAAATATATTTCAATTTAAATACATTTCACTTCAATTTATATATTCATTAAAAATACAATCAACTTTAAAATAATTTTTTTATTGTCAGTTTGTTAAGACTGTTCTACTAAAAATTTTTGAAAATATTAAGCTATACATACTCTAACGTGTTGTCGCTCCAAGTGTAGCTGCATTTGCAAATGTTGTAATTGTGATGGTGCTGACGAACTCTGACCAGTTCCTCCACCACTTCTACGAACACCGGATAATTGAGAAAGTAATTCTGCAATTGGATCTATACCTTCCCGATTACTTGGACTCAATCCTCCGGATGAACTGAAATGCATATTGGACCTGCAGGTCCAATGACACGCCAATGAACATTATCTAAGGTGAGATGATGATGAGCTGAAGCTGAAGCCTTGCTTGGCGGTCTTTTCAGGCATTTTGCAAATAAAATGCATCTTTTTTTTTTTTAAACAACGTATGCAGACATGAATGTTGTATTATATTTTAATAAACAAATAATGATAATGACTAATGTTATAAAAAATGTAAGAAAATGATACTAAATAAAATTACATGCATACAAATATATTACTTTATAATTATACTGATACACAAATACAGATCATGATAACTAATATTAGCAACATTTTTTAGCAATAGATTATTGAGATTGCACTCAAACACAGTTAATACTATTTTGAATTAAAAAATAATTGTTTTCTTGTCTATCTAAACACATAATATCATGTTTGTAAAAGACGTTTTAATGTTTCCTGCAATTATTTAATGTAATGCGTATATTGCAAGTATATATACCTGCGAGGTCGGGGCCCACCAACAACTCTGGGTGTATGTGTTATCCGTCTACCATTATATCTACTAGAAGATGGTTCATCTAGAAAAGAGATCAAATCTCTTGGTCCACTACGATGCTCCATACTTAAATGACCCGCAAAATCATCAGTCAAGTTATTAGGATCCCCTCCTGGGACAGATGCACACACTGGACAAACCTACAGTAGAATTTTAAATTTATAAATTTTCTTCATAAGATAGTATTACAAATATTTTTATAGTTTTATCATATTACAGTATACATACAACTTCAAATGAAGTGTCCGAATGATCTGCAGCAACATGTTCTTGCAGTGCAGCCTCAGTAAAACCCATTCTTGTACAATAAGGACAAGTTAAGGATTGTGGCTGCTCTATACTTACTGCTTCTCCACCATAATATAATTCTATAATATAATAAGTTGATACATTAGTTATTACAATTATCCACCTAAAATAATCATTACACATAGGATCTAATGATTGATTTACCAAAGTCAGATCTAGTAAGTATACACTGCATAGGATGATCAGTGTGGTGACGTGTAGTACTGGCACCTCCTTCGTAACAGCTGGCACACAAATCATAATCGTAGCACACGAGGCACTTGTATCTGCGACCCCGAAAATTCCCCTTTAAGCAGGAGTCACAACTTACCCCTGTAATAAACACAGTCATATACTATCTAATATTTTACAATAATAATATTAAATTGAATCTAACATTAATGCTAAATAAACAACATACAAACAAAGAGCATTACATGAGGTATATATTTACAAAAACATTCAAGAAAAATGCAGTTGTTCCTACAAAAGATATTTATATGTCTTTCACATATACATACACATGCAATAACCTTGAACTAGATCTATAAAAAGTATCTTATTTAAGCCTACTTTAAATGCACATAGTTTTTGCAATAAAAATATTATGCTATATACTTTTTATATAAACAAGTGCATGCAATATTATGATTTATTAGTAAATAAATTGGAATGAAAGAAAATATAAATAAGTAAAATAACAAAATTATATTACAACAATGTGCATTACAACCATGTGCATTACAATCATGTACATAACAAGCATGTAATCTCTCTATAGTTAAGTGCATTGTTTCAAGCCTAGCCCTTCGTTTCTATCCCAGAAGTAATTATTTTTAGAACCATAACACAACTTATTATACAAAGGTTTCTTAGTTGATATCTTTATATTTTCTATTGTTTATTAAATGTTACAAATTGTACATATGTATACATAAAGAAGTATAACATTTAGAAATATATGTACATAAATAAATAATTTAAGAAATACAATAAGTTGAATATGGTATCACTTTTATGGTAATGGTATCATTAAGATTAACATATATGCACATGTTAATAGTTAGTGATAACATTTTTGAACTTCAATACAATATTTTTAATTTTAATTATGTAACATGTGCAGATACAATACAAATAAAAAAAGGTACATATACCAACTTTATTTACATATCAAACAATGTACATTTTTAACTCTGCTAATATCATTATGACATTTAAGTCTAAAAATCCAATACAATTGCATTGTTTGATGTTAACATTATATTATTACAATGTAATAAACAATGCAGTTATTTAAAGAATACAGATGTGAAAGTTAGAAAAGGTCAATAAAAAGACTAATTCGAACATACAGAATAAGAGAAATATGTTTCAATATGTTTTACAGGTTTAACATTATAAGAAAGAGAAGGGGATTGAACAAGAAAACCAATTTTAAAGGAGTCATTTGGCAGAGCATCCTGACAGTTGACCAACAAATATTGTCCCTGAATTTTATTCATTTCATATGATCAACCTAGTAAAAGATGATGACATTGCAAAAATTTTAGTAAAATCATCAAAGAACATTGTAAACCTACAGAAATTGGAGTAAATTTTTTTATAAGTGCTGCCATCTGGCCTCTGACATTAGACCCTTTGGTACAGAGCTTACAAGAAATGTCTTACGAAAAATCTCATACATTGTCGATTTCGTAACCTCGACGATGAGTTTGCACAAACTTTTTATGCATATCCCCAAATGCCCCATAATCCAACAATTTTACCATCAACATAAAATAAATTTAGCATGCGAAGTGGAGGCTGACTTGCTAGTCAGAAACAGCGCACACGTACGTACCTTCATGTAGATTCATTTTCCGTTTAAAATCTCATATACGCCGATAACGCGAAGTCTCGCGATCGAACGGTTTACGAAATACGATTACTGCTCGCCACTGCGTTAGCTCTTCACGTCGCTCAGTGCAGCAGATACAATGGGAAAAACATTAATCGTCAAACAAAAAATTTTTCGTTAGAATTTCCAGCGTAAAACCTAACCCAACTAGGCTACCGTGACGTCACACTAGATCTACGCTCCCGGAGAATGTTGCGGGCAGGGTCTCTGTCATTGCGGCGTTGCCACGTTCTTAATAAACATACGTGGGAAATTCAAATGTCATAAATCTGATTGCTTATTAAACATTCATTTTATATAAACTAAGTCAACTTCATTTAGTTATCTATTCAGTAAAATATCTTATAAAAATGACATAGTATGAGAAATATTCAAATACACTAAATAATCTTATTATATATGTTGTATTTGAAAGTACTAACATTATTTATAGTACGTTTCTAATGTCACGGAAAATATGTATGAAATAAATTACACGACTCTGTGTTAAATCAATAAGCATTTTAATACTGTTAATGTTAGTTATTACGTATAAAATTTAAAATAGTGCACATATTGCATTAAGAGACATTCGAAATCATTCACCAACACAATTTTAGCTACTCGATTGACAATCTATTTTCATAGTTTGTGACGAAATTTGGCAATCTAGCACTCCTTTTACGAACATTTCCGAAAGACTCTCGTATGACTTCGTACTCTTCCGTATGTAGTCGTAACTCCCGAAACCTATTTCGCGAAGTTGCTTCATTTATCGAACAATGGAGGCGATACTTGGACGTGTTTTTGTATATGGAGGCAAGGGTGCCTTAGGTTCTGCTTGTGTTTCAAAATTCAAATCAAAAAAATGGGTGAGTAACAATAGTAATAAAATCTATAACATGTAAATAAATCTGATGACTATTACAAATGGTACTGACTCGTTTCCTCATACAAGTTGCGGCTTTCCACCAATATTTCTAAAAGTAATAATAAAATAAATATTGTTCATTAGTTTTATTTAATTGAAAACAAGTTACTGAACATTTATATATTGATAACTTGTTGATTCTCAACATTGATTAAAAGATAATCCGAAACAACTGTTAGTTGAAGTTCTATCAACAAGGAAAATTTCATTTTGCAACGTTAATCTTTAAAGAGAGCAGGAAAATACTACATTTGTAAAATATTTTGTAATATTTTCAATCTTTCGTTTAGAACTTTAGTATAATAAAAATTGTACACATTGCTTTTTAACATCTGTTGGTTTTTTAGTATCACGGAGTAGTTTACACATTTCAAAAGACGTTCGATGCTTTCGCGCACTATTTTGAATATTACGAAATGTGTTCTGTTCATACATGATAACTGTTACTTATATGTATATGTATATAACTTTTTTTTTTATTGTAATATTATATACATATTCGTTTTAT